GTTAGGGTTAGAGTTAAATCCAGGAGGATAATAAGGTCGATAATTAGGATTTCCTTGGTTATTTAAATTTCTTGAGGGGTTGTTATAATTATTCTAACTAAAATTAGGGTGATTTTTTCATCCATGATTGTAATAGTTAGAATAAAGATTATTATTTCGATTATTAATAGTATTCAAATTTTCATATGATTATTGAGTATCAATTATCTGCCTTAATGAATTTTCCTCTAATACTAGTGGTATTTGTGAATAATTCAATCCAATTTGATCAATCTTTTTCGATATAGCAGCAATTTGAGATGCTAAAATAGACATTGCATCAGATTCATGAATACTAGCTACTCTCTTAGAATTTACCCGTTTAGAGAGTCATTGAAAATTATTAGTAGTCATTTCTTCTATTAAAGAGTATGCTTCATCAAAAGGTTTTGACATTAAAGATCCACCTGCAACATCTATAATAGATCTAAGTGATCTTATTAATCCATTATAAAAAGTTTGAATTATTAACCAATCTGGTAAAACATGGTGTGGACATTTTCTAAGGAGATCCTTAAATCTTTCGTAGGCTTCATATATCGATTCTTCTTCAAACTGACAAAAAGATATAATATCGTTTCTAAGCTTAGCGGTTTTCGATGGTGGAAAATATTTAGCCAAAAATTTTTTTGATAGTTCTCCCCAAGTTCTGATAGAATCAGGTGCTAATGAGTTTAACCAAGCTTTGGTTTTATCCCTTAATGAAAAAGGAAAATGTCTATAAGCTTAACAGCATCATCAGACACTCCGTCATATTTAAAAGTAGCACAAATCTCAAGAAAGCTAGCAAGATGTAAATTATGATCTTCAGTAGGTGTTCCTCCAAACTGATTATTTTGTACTATTTGGATAATTGCAGGTTTAAGCTCAAATGAATTAGCAGCAACTTCAAGATTTTGAATAGTTAAGTGAAGTTCATTTGTTGTTGGATTAACATAATCTTTTAGAGGTCTTTGTATATTTATATATATATATATATATATATATATATATTGGATTTTTTATTTTATAGTTTTTTTTTATATTTTGTATTTTGTATATTTTTCTCTAAATTTTCTAATTTACCAAATCTATTTAATTTACGGTTAACTTTCCCTACAACAGCGCAAAAAATTTGATCCTAGTTGAATATAGTTGTGTAAAATCTATAAAGTTGACTCCGCTTTATAACGGTGCGAAAAATTTGATGTGGTGTTTTAGTAATAATAACGTTAAGCTTTTAAGATTGAGATGCTACGTAAGTATACGTATCGTTATCAAGTAATATAAGACTTTCTGTTTAAGTCCCAAATATCGATCCCACGGGGAATGTTTAAATTTGAAATGATAAATTAACTAAGAAATTCACAAAAATCAAACGAAATTACTGTCACTAATTTCAAATGTCTAAGATACTATCAACGCTAAATTATTTTCTACTTGCAGAATTTAAAAGCAGAGTTTAAAATTAATAATTACTAAACTATGTTTATGTGATGAATTTTTTTAATATGAAAAATCATATTTCCCACTACAATGAGTTTTTGGTGAAATGAGATGAGATAAATGGTTTAAATGTATATTGTGTCAAATAGGAGCAATTTTAATTATCTACCCTGATTCGGTGTTATGGAAAAATCATTGGCTAATCTTAGGTTTAGTCCGTAAATCCGTGGCTAGGCTAAGAGGCTTTTGACTCCCACTTCCCTTCCCCTGAAGGCTAACTCTCGCTTTAATTTTTAAAAACTAAGATCGAATTGGGGACTTTTAGTCTGTCAACCTAGAAATCTTCAATTCTACACCCAGCAAAGTATATTTTCCTATTTATTTGCACTTAATTCCATGAAAGAAATACTCCTTCATGGACTTAAATGTGATTCTCACTCTGTTTTAGAACTCATACTCTGTTTCTCGGATCATATGTTTCACAACATATTTTTATAATTCAATTGACCAGATCAAAAAGTAAATTAAGAGCGGATTTGAAAAACGATCACAATTTATTTTAAATTTTAACATTGGCACATCCACATTATCTTTTCATTTCACCATATCTCAGAGTAGGGAGAAAGATAAATGAAACTACTCAGACTTCATGAGAAAAATACCACAAACAAATTTCATATATAAAAGAAAGTTCATACACCAATAATAAACAAAAAACACTTATCTGAAACTATTTCTCAAAGCAAATCCTTTGTAGTCTCTTTTAGGAAATGTAGGAAGAAAAAATCTCTCACTTTTCTTTCTCTCCAACGCTTCTTTCACACTTAAACTCACCACAAAAATTCAAAACTATAAAAATAATAACTAACTATTGGTGTGGAATGACGTGGAATGTAGGTGTGTGAAGAGGAAAACTGAAATGAGTGGAAGAATTTGAAATGGGGAAGAATTTGAAATGGTTCGAAGGGGGGGGTTCTGATCAAATTTCGGCTCTAAATAGAGCCTAAGTCGGTTCTTCAATACGTGCATCCAAAAACTCCTAAAAAAGCGTCTAAATTCGTCGAATTTTCTAGAAGCAGGGTCTGCACCAACACTGGCGTCGTCGGCGCCAGAGGCCATTCAGTTAATTCCTTCTTCTCTGTCAAACGGCGCCGTCAGCGCTGAACAATTTTTTTTAACTTCTCTATTTTGACTCCAAATTTCATTCTTTTTGCTTCATTTTTGCTCTAAGTCTTAAAAATCAACAACATGCAATAAAACATAAAAAATACCTTTCATTAAAGTGCAATATCACCAAAAATGACTATAAAATATGGGTTTAAAAATGTATATATTTTTTGTATATCAGCCACACTAATAAGCCGGGACTATCTAGAGAAAAAATTATCTTCATTATTAGATCCTTGTATTAAAAAAGTAGTCGAGTGCATGCTTAGAGGCCCAATTGCTGCCATGAAGCTTATGTTTTAATGGTCTAAATGAGGCATGTCTTTTTGTATTAGGACGTACACCTTGAGGCTTAATGCTGAAGGCGTTTGAGGCAACTCCTTAAATTACAATTTAATTAAAATAAAATTATTTATTTATTTATATTTTGATATGTTCGGGTTTTACAGAAAAGCGAGAAACGACTACGAGCGGGCTATATGAGTAGGTTGCTAGTCTATTTGATTGTGGAGGTTTACAAGTGAGGCGTGCTATGCGTGGGGAGGACTTCGAGCGATTGTTGGCAAGGGAGATCGAATCTATAAACAGTTGGTTGACTGCGTGTATTCTTGAACTGAGTTGGAAATGTATTATTTCGCATGAATAAATAATTATAGTTTAGTTATTTTTGTTTTCATATAATAATTTTATTTTTCCTTAATAGATTTTATTTGCTTTTTTATTTTTTGTTTTTTTTTTATTTAAATGACGATAGTTTATGATATAATTATGAATTATTATTATTATTGTTAGATTTTATTGTTTGTTCGAGGCTTGCACTTTGAATAAGTCTTAAGGATCATGCTTTGTTTCGGTAAGGCAAAAAGTCTCAATTATGATTCAACTCTTTTAAATATTTTTAAATGATTTAATTTCTTCATTAATGATCTTAATTATCTTAGTTTTTTTATTTGTAGAAAAAAAATTGAAGCAGGCCAAATTGTTAAACATTTCAACACTATAATCCACACTCACTTTTTAGTTTAAAATCTTTGTCCTAAACATTAACAATGTCAAATAATACTTTGAATCAGTCTTAGCAAATCATTTCCTTGATCAAAGGATTATCGACTTAACTTTATGTGCTGATACTCTTTTGCAAAATACAAATTTTAGAAGAAAAAACAGGCACTGTTGGAGATGGCTAGATCACTAATATTCACCCTAACTATTCCTGAATATTTTTGAGAAGCTACCATAAGTGCTGCATATCTTGTTAATAGAATGCTCTCCCTCAATAGCACTTAAATTTCAAATCCCTTTTTAAACCATTTTATATTTATTTCTTTAGACCAAAATCATTTTTCCGTTTAAATAAATGTATATATATAAGTGTCAGATTCAAAATGTTCTCCTCCGTAAGAAAGCTTGGGATAAAAATCATAGGCTCACTCTTTAATATGTTTTAACACCATTTTTTTTGAGAAATTGAAAATGCAAAAAAAAATAATAATAATAATAATAATATAGAAAAAAGAGATGGAGAAATTTACGAAGTTGTTTAAGATAGAAATCTTATTCAACTTAGGTGCCTAGGACTAGCATGGAACTTGTGTGTTTGAAAGGTTTGGTCTAGGTTAAGCGTGTAATCGAGCCACTATCCTGTTGAAGTATATGAAACTGATTTGGTTCTAACGTTAAGATTGCATACTTCAACCTCCTTTTATCCGTCTCAAGAGGAACTCTGGCGACAACGTCAGCTCCTTTACAACAAAGTGGTATATTTTCTTTTTTTCATTGACTGAATCAGTTCTATCTTAGTTTTGTGGTCAAGCACGCATGTGGCTCTTCTCTTACTCTAATTTATGGCGCTGATGATATCTGGGATCCCTTCTCATATTGTTGGCTGGGCATTATGATGATATTTAAAATTTAAGAACGGGTCAATAGGCTTTATGTATTTTATACCTTTGAAGTTAATTTTTTCAACATTTAATTGTAAAACACATGGTTTTGGCTGTACAGATGGCTACCCCATCCTTTCTTCAAGCATCTGGATGGTATTGTGTGCTAAGTTTAAGGTGCTTCCAACTATATGTCCTCAAAATTTGAACTCTACTTTCTGTGATGTTGAAATGAGCTTATGTTAACCCGTTCTTAAACTATTTCGATCTGTTTTGTTATGTTTCTCAACCAAGCGTTGAAATCGTTTTATCTGAACGATTTTTTTTTTGTTAAACAGATGCAGGGAATGTAATCAATGTTGACATGCCTGAAAAGCTATCACAACTTAAAGAACAAATTGCCATTCTTGAGAAGCGTGAAGAAAGGTTACCTTTTTTTTTAATGTTTAGATTTTATTTAAATTTGAATTAACTGCTTATTTACTTATCTAATGCAGATACAAGGCTGTTTTTGCGGAGAAGATTTCTGTTTTCAGAAGAGCATGTTGTTCACTATTTGGCTATAAGGTGAATTATTTTTGCTTCAATATACATTAAAATACTGTGAAAAACTAAATTGTATGGTCAGATTGTTAGATACTGATATGTTTGATATTATTAGAAAGTAATATAAATAAGAGGCATTTACATACATGCCACCTAATTCTTATATGTTTACATGTCTAAAACCAAAACTTTACTGTTTACATTTATACTACCCAAATCCTTTGTATCACATAAAAATAACACCATTTGAACTTATAAATAGCGAAATTCACACCTCGATTCATAGGTGAGGTGGCATGTATGTAAAAATTGGAGTTTAGTTGTTTCATATGTAAACACGTAAGAATTGAATGGTATTCATGTAAAACTTCCTATAAAAATGAGCTGACTTATGATCGATCCCATTAATTCATTTTTCAATTTTAAATTTTTGTTTTTGTGATCTTTTTGTAGGAGCCATCCAAAATTATATTATTGCAGTTTGGAGTTTTGCTTTTCATAACTTGATGTGAGTTATTTTCTTTTTCAGTCGTGGTTGAGTAGTTAGTTCTAGTCGTGAGACCATATTTATTTCTTGCCGGCATACAAACCTAGCCATTTATGTTTGCCACAACATTTGCTCTTTTAGTTGGACATTGGTTTCTCCCTGTTTGTCTATCTTTCTATAAACCACTACTAAGTACCTTTCTACAATTCATATCACCATTACTCTAATCACAATTAATAGGATTATAACGCGGGGCTTGGGGGCCTAGATGGAACTGCCAGTGGTTCAGCAGGAGAAGGCCCTTGGTTCAGTGGTTCACAATTAATAGGATTATGACGAGTTAATCCTATTAATAGGAGAAGACCCCTGGCGGGAATTATCCCCCTCTCCCCCCAAATTTCTATTTTTCTGCCTAATACATTAATTATAAACATGTGTGATTGTCGTCCTAGGGTTTTAGTTTTCGTCTCTTTGAATTCAAGTTTATATCTTCTTGTCGTCGCCAGCTTTTTTCCATTCTAGGGTTATATTTGAAGGCTAGGTTTTTCGACTTTAACTCGCATGAGGTGGTGATCTTCTAGGCAGTTCCATTTCCTTTGGTCGACAAACTATGTCCCTTTGGGCAACAAAGCAAACCCTTCTATTGTACTGGTCAAGTGGCCCTAGTCTTCCTGGCAACCCTTCTACCGTAGGTGGGCAGCGACAGCCTTGCGTTAGTCTTCCGGAGTTGGGAGAGCTTCGACTTCATTCATCTAAGCTTCTGGTTCCTTTTAGCACGGTTTCACGTCTGCGACGTTGAATGTAGTTGAAACATTATATTCCCTTGGTAGTTCAATCTTATAAGCATTGGTAAAATACATGTCAGTGGCATGCGATGCATCCAATGTCCGATGGCACCGTATGAAATGTGTCATCTTTGAGAATTGATCCACCGTGACCATGACTGAATCCTTGTTTCGATTTTTCCTCAGAAGTCCCACCGCAAAGTCCATACTAACATCGACCCACGGTATCTCTGGTGCTGGTAATGGGGTGTATGACCCTGCATTTTTTCCTTTGATTTTTTCCATATGACAAATCCTGCATTACCCAACATATCGTTCCACATCTCTCGCTAGTTGGGGCCAAATGAAATGTTCTATCACGAGTGAAAGAGTCTTGTCCCTGCCAAAATGCTCTGCAAGTCTTCTACTGTGGCTTTCCTAAACAATAGATTCCCTTGGCGAACATATTGGAATGCACAACTTAATCTGGTAGAACAAATATTTATCAGCTCTATAGTACCGTAGTAGGCTTCACTTGGCACTGCTCTCAAATTTTGCCAAAATCCTTTTATGTCTCGTAAAGCTCATTTACCTTCTCAAAGCCCACAATGAGAGCCTGCATCACAGTGATCAACAAGTGTCCATAGCTCAGTGCATCTGCTACCTAGTTCTGACTCCTTACCTTGTGCTTAATCACGAACTTGAACGATGTTAAAAGCTCCACCTAAGTTGCATGTTATCCCTTCAATTTGCTCTAGTGTTTTAGGAATTTCAAGGTTGTGGTCCGTGACCAACGTGAACTCACTCATCAGTAGGTAATGGTTCTGGTGCTCAAGAGCTCTCACAGGAGCATAAAACTTCTTGACGTATGTTGAATATTTTCTCTTAGAATCATTTAGCTTCTCACTGAAAAAGGTGATGGGGTGACTTTCCTGGCTCAACACTGCTCCTATCCCCACGTTGCATGCATTACTCTCTATCTCTAACAGCTGGTTGAAGTCTGGTAATGCCAAGTTGTTATCTTCTTCTTGAGTGCACTGAAACCACTCTAAGCTGTCTCTGTCCATTGAAATTTCTATCCATTCAAAAGATCTTATAGATACGGTCTGTGATGGTACCGAAACTCTTGATGAATTGCCTAGAAAATGACACTAGTCTCAGAAACTGCACAACTCATTGAACAACTGTGATATGGTCCAGCTCACAATGACCTCAACTTTTGTAGGCCCATCAAGTTATGCTATGTTTCTCTTGCTCGACCAACTCACACTTCATCTATAACTTGTCGAACTGTGGCGTGATCTCCTCCACTGAAAGATTTCTCCGCTGCAAGTGGTGGAATCTCAGAAACATTTCCTAACGGTAATGAGGTGGAAGGTATTTCCTTTGCATCTCTTTCCTCATCTTTTTTCACTTGGCAATTTTTCACTGCCTTTTCTCTTCATCTGTCTCTACAAGTTCTCCCACCACAATGAAACATTATTTAATTTGATGGCGGCTAACTTCACCCGTTTTTTTTCTAACACATCCTTATATTTGAAGATTCGCTCAACCGATTGCAGTCAGTCAATAAAGTAATCTAGATCCCTACCCCCATCAAACTCTAGTAGATTCACTTTGGTGTCGAAGTCTCTGTGTCCTCCATATGTGGGCTCCTCTCTCGACCTCTCTGATGTTGAATCCCGAAGCGGCGGGGTCGGTATTCCTCGCCACTGATGTCTTCCCCATGGAACGCATTCAAATCCTCGTCTCTGCCTCCCCTATGACTCTTCAAATCACGATCAAGGGTAATCTTTCCCTTGGTCCTTCCATCAATCTCTGCAAGCCTTTGCTGAAGACGATCGATCTCCCACTGTATCTTATCCCGGTTAGGGTCAGACATTCATCTCCCTGATGGCATGGTTAGGGTTTAGGATTTGAGGAAATGGAAATGACATTTGATACTAGGAATGAAATTTTTAGGTTATGGCGGATGTTAGGAAACCCTGGGATAGGACTAGGGTTAGGCTAGCTCTAATACCAATTGATACCGGAGTTAATTCGAAATCTGGTAGCAGAAGCTATATTTTATTACTCAAACCCAACAAACTTACAAACATGACTCACACTACGAAAGAAAAGACAAAACGAGAAGACTCCTCAGCTAGGGCTAATCGGAACGGTCAATGGACAGCAGCGAGGGTGGCCAAGAGGTTTGTTGGTGGGCTGTTACGGGGCTAGTGGGGTTGCGGTTGGGACCGGATGTGGGGGATCTGGGTCTACGGTTTGCTAGGGAGCAGATTGGTGGGGTGTGGTGCAACAGGGAAGTGATAGGGTGAAGTGGTGCGGCTTAGTAAGGAAGCCGGAGGGTCTGGGTGGCCTGCTGGGAGTGGAAAGGGGTTTGCAGTTAGCAGGTGGACTACAGGTGCGATTAATGGCAAGCAGGTGGACTGCAGGTTCGGTTAGTGGCGGCATCAAGTTTTTGGCCAGGGAGTCGAAGGCTGGATAATGAAGGTGAGGGCACTAGTTGAAAGGCAATGAGCAGGAGAGAGGGATATGCGGGGGAATAGGTCGAGATAGTCACCACCTCGGAGCACTATACAACACCACCTGTCTTCGGATTCATCCCTGGCTATGGAAAAACGATGACGGCAAGTAATCGGGACTCAAAAACAAAAACTGAACCGTTGGGTATGGAAAAACGATGACGGCAAGTAATCGGGACTCAAAAACAAAAACTGAACCGTAAGCAAACAAATAATATGTGTGTGTGTATACACACACATATATGTAATAGTAGATAGAATAGGAAGGAGAGGATCCCAACCCCCCCCTCCCCCCGGGGCGGCAAAGCAGAACCCCCTATTAGACCAGTCGGCGGGCCTAGTCTCCCCCCCTATTAGACCAGTCGGCAGGCCTAGTCTCCTGGTTCAGCCCTTCCACTGCTGGACAGGCCTGCGGCAGGTAAGCCCCGCATCACTTAAGCATATTGACATCCATGATTCTATGCCCCTCTTATGGCTTAAAGAAAATAAAATAAAATAAAAAATTATTAAAATAGTGCAATTTCGAGAAGTTCTTTTAAATTGCAGACTTTCTTAGAAATGAATTGTGCATGTTTGCTGATATTTAACACCAGGTTTTTGCCTTTCTAGATTGTAATGGATGATCAACAACGTCCTAATGGTATTCCCATGACGAGGTTTACTTTACAATCTATATATGCTCAAAGGGATGAGGAAAAACTTGAATTTGACTATGAGTCAGGAAATGCAACTATTTTGGTAAACTTTTCTCTCGATGAACATTACTATTATGAAATCCTATCATTTTTCTTTGTTGGATTGACATAATATTATTCTAATGTAGGTCAATGACTACACTTCTCAGACTGAAATACATCACCAGGTATTTACCATATTTACCTTATTTAAAAATACAATTACTAGATAGATTAGGAGTTAGTTTATGTATTTAGTATGAGATTCAACAACTGTCCTCTTCTTAAAATGTCCCCTTTTTTTTTAAGTTTTTCACATGAGTTTTGAATATAGCATTTAAATTAATATTTTAGCTTACGGCGTCCTTTAGTGATCAAAAGCATCGATCTGAAATTTTTTAAATTTCGTAGTATTAACTTTGCGTCTCATTTATGTTTTTGATCAATAATGTGTACTGATACTAAATTTTTACTTTGTTATTGTTTTATTATTATCATTATTATTATTATTAAATTTTCTCTTTATTTACCTGAAAGCATATAATGAAATCTTATTCATGCAGAATACTGTTTAAAGATGAATTGAAGCAGTGCGATGAGTATACGTTTTTGTTAACATAAGAAATCTTTGGAGTTTGTGACTATTCTATTATTTAAGTTCAATTGAGCTTGAACATTACTGAGAAAAAATAATAGTTAGATAAAATAGAATTATGGAGAATGACGAATAACCAAGTGACTGTAGTTAGAATGAGATTGTTTAAATGTTTATGCAGTAAAATCAAAATGATGAAATATGTTACAAATGTGAGGCAACATTCTTTAAGGATAGTGTTATCAAACACACTTTTGAGGCTAGTTAGAATGAGATTGTTAAAATTTTTATGCAGTAAATCAAGTTGATGAATTCTGTTACAAATGTGAAGTAACTTTCTTAAAGGATAGTGTTATCAAACACACTTTAGAGGCGAAGTGATGTTATGGTCCAACACATCTTCTGCTTGTGATGCAGAACACGCAGCAAAGGTTTCATGCCTTCCATTTTGTTGCATCACATCATAGTGTAGCTTTATCTTCAACTTGAAACAAAACATTAAGATTTTATTGTTTGGCTGAGCATCTGCCCTACTAATTAGGAACTGAACATTTGTTTCCTTGATGGCTTTTGCAGTTGTTGAGTCATTGCTTATTGTTTCTTCTTTCTCTCTAGTTGGAGATTGTCATTTTTTAATTGTGGTCTTCATGATTTCTCTATCATTAGTTTTATTATATCCCGCTCGTTGGCTCTTTGTATCCGTTCTATTAGCTTTTTGGTTTTATGCTTCTTATTGAGAATGCTTAATGTATCCACTAGACATTCTTGATGCCTCATCATCATTCTCTCGCTTCACATTACCGCTACCTTTTGGCCTATATTTTCAGCACTTCCAATTTTATATCTTCAAATCTTTTGTTTTAGTTTTGGGATTGTTGATAATTAATGTTGTTACGTATATATTTGTATTTACTAAAATTTATTATTAGATGAGATTTGAGTTTGATTAGTTAAATGACTATTTCATCCACATTATATTTTTTTTAAGGAAACCCATAGGTAAATTTATTGCTCAAAAGTAAAGTTACATGGTTGTAAGAGATTGGATCCCACTACAAATAAAAAAATACAGTACTCACTTCTAGGGTTCCAAACACCAAGTGTACAAACTCACCCAAAAAAGTTTCCAAAACAGATGCAAGTATACCCCAAAATGACCCCTAAAGAAAAGAAATAGCTAAATCCAAGCAAAGAAGAAGGCAGAGAAAAAACAAACATGCTATCTTAAGAGAAAGGTTTAAGGTGGGGCATATTGAGATTTTCCTTCATTAGAATCAGGCTTGTTCTTCAGGATTATGGCTTTGGTCTGTGTAGCAGCTTTGGTAAGAACATATGTTGGCCTATTAGTTTCCTTGTGTGTAGCTCCATGTGATGACAATATTTGCTGAAAATTGCTTAATCCTGCATAAATCAACACTTAAATACATAGGAGGTTTTTTATCAATCATTGATGTCTAACAGAAAAGTTGAATCCATCTCAATTTGCAAGAATTTCCAATTCATTTTAGCCACAATAGATAAGGTCAACCAAATAGCATGTAACTCTATGAATAATGCACAAACAACCATACAAGGTGAAGAAAAAAAGCATAATAGTTTATCAAAATGAGACCTGTAGACCCCACCTGCACCTGCACAATCAGCCTTCCAACTACAATCAGTATTTACCTTAATCCAGGAGAAAGATGGTTTTTTCCAACTTATAAGAGAGACCTTACAAAAATTTCTGCCTAATATATCATAACCCAACCAATTCATCCAGCTAGCAAAGTTTGATGGCTTAGATTTATGATAAATAAACCGTTTATGTATATAAGATAAGATAATTAAATTCACCCTATCGTGCTTGATGCACAATTCTCATGCTTGTTGGAATTCTAGCCAACCAAATACCAAATGCAGATGAAATGAATGATGTTAAATATATATTGTTTATGAATAAGATGACACCAATGTTCCCTGCACTGTGACAGATCCGCCCAACCTAATGGAGGGGTTTTGATAGTAGCCCGATCGCCTAAAACTGTCCAGATTTTCATAGAGTTGGCACATCCAAAAAACACATGGTTTACGCTTTCCTCCTCCGACTTGCAAAGCAAACATTGGGAGGGGATTCTCAATCCCTTCAATTTAAGGATATCATCCATTGGAATCAACCCAAGTAAAACTCTCCAATAGAAAAAAGACAGAAGGGGTCAAACATTTATTCCAAATCGCACCACCCCAGTCCTCCTTGTCCCAAGTGTAAAGATTTGAATAAATATTTTTAGTAATAGAGAAATTGATAGTTTCAGTCAACATAATTTTATCCTTTTTAGACTTATCAAAAGGAATCTTAGAGATATAAGTAGTTTTATCCTTACCAAACATATTGGTGAGCATCTCCAAGTTCCAACCTTCATCAAGACAACGATCAGCCACAGTCAAGTCTTTTTTATCATATATAAAGCAAGGAGATAGATCTTCTTCCTTCCATTTATCATGCCAAAAGGATAAATTATTTTTCCCCAGTTTGCAGTAGATAAAGTCCTCGGCAGTATTTTTGATTTTCAACATGCCTCTTCAAGTTTTGGAATCACCAATCTTGGAATGAACCTCCAATGGATGAAGATTTCTGCAATATTTGCTTTGCATGTATTCGGCCCATAGAGATTCAACTTTTCTAAATTTAAACCACAAAAGAATAGAATTGACTTCAGCTAGATGGTTTAGTTGTCGAAATCCCAACCCACCGACATTTAAAGGCCTACATAGCACCTTCCAACAAGCCCAAATTTTTTATTTATGATTCCTAGACAGTCTTTCAAGTATTAAGTGTGTGCCAAGTTTGACCTTAACACCTGCAAAGCATATAAGGGAATAGTGGTTAACACACTTTTCAGCAAAGTAATCTGTCCCTCAAAGGGTAAAAAGGAATTGGTCCAATCTCCGTTTTTGCTTTTGATTTTATCTACAACAACATCAAATTGCAATTGTTTTCTCCTCCCTTTGAGTAAATTAACCCCTAAGTATTTTAAGGGGAGATCAACAATGGTGAAGCCAGTATACTCATATGCCCATGTTTGCATATTGCTACTCACGTGTTTCCCAAAATAAAGATGACATTTCTCAATATTAAAGCTCATACCAGAAGCTTCCTGAAATGATAGAATAGTATGATATGTTTTTTTTATAGAGTATCTGGAAGCATTAGTGAAAATAATTACATCGTCAGCATAGGCCAAATGGCTAACTCCGATTATAGCCTTATTTTTGTACTGAGTATGGAAATGTAGAATCTGTAGGGAATTAATTAATCCAGAAAAATAATCAAATTCTAGAATAATAATAGTAGGTGAGAGAGGACTACCCTGTTTTATGTCTCTACCAGAGGTGAAAAAGCCATGTGCTTGCCCATTAAGAAGCACCTGATAATAGTTTCCCTCCAACCAACCTTTGACAAAATTGCAGAACTTTGAGCTGAAGCCCCTGGATTTAATGACCACAGGTATAAAATCCCAGCTAATAGTGTCATAAGCTTTCCTTAAGTCCGGTTTGATAATAAGATTTCCCCTCTGCATTTATATTCAAGATCACATATTAATTCTTATGCCAATAAAATATTATCTGTTATCCCTCTTCCCTAGATGAAAGCTGATTGATTTGAACAGATTAGGATAGGGTGAGGTTGCTTTAGCCTTTCCACCATGATCTTGCTTATGATCTTTGACATTATAGAGCCTAAAAAAATGGGTATGAAGTGTTTCCATTTTGCTTTATCATTATTCTTTGGAGCTAGTACAATAAAGGAGGTTGTAAAATATTTGCACATAGGAGTGCTCTCATAGTAGCATTGAACAACATCAACCACATCTCTTTTGACCACCTCCCAACTGTTTTTTATAGAAATAACCTGAGAACCCATCAGGGCCAGCGAATATCATTAATAGTCTTTCATATTTCAGCCACAAAAGGTATTTCAACAATCTCTACAGATGAGGTTTGTAGTTTAGTTTCCCAGGTAATGTCAGCATCTAGCACTACATCAAAGTTCACCTTAGAGAAAAGGAGCTTGAAAGAATCAATCCTATTTTTAACAATCTCTTCCTGATCTATCTGCCAACCACTATTATTATGTTGAATTTTTAAAAGTGTTAATTTTGTTTTTAATTCATTCATGAAAGTAGCTAGTGTTCCTATCTTTTTCCAAGAAGTGTAATTTACCAGCCTTTTGCTTTAGATAATCATCCTCACATTTAATAGCATTATTTAACTTCTTGTATGCATCATCCAATTCTATAGAGAAATTGTCATTGCATATCCAACTTGTCCAGCTTAAAAACCTCTTCTTCAGCCTTCTTTATTTGTTGATTAAAATTCCCAAAAGTATTTTAGTTCCACCGTTTTAAATCAGTAGCCAAGCTCTTATGAAGTTTCCAGAGACTTTCCCAAGGGTTGCCCCTCACATCTGTATTCCAATTCCTCTTCACATAGTCAACATAATCATCATGATTCAATCATATATTGTGAAAACGAAAAGTGGAGAAGAAAGGCTTGTTTGTAATAACAACTCTAAGTAAAAGAGGCCGATGATTAGACCGAAGGTTGGATAAATGATACAATTTTGTAGTTGGATAGTTTTTTATTCAACGTTGATTAGCAAAAACACAATCCTGTCTTTCAAAAGTCCTTCCTCTTATCTAAGTGTAGCTAGTGCCAACAAAACCTATATCAAATAGATTTGCATTTGTAATAGCCTCATTGAATCTAGATATCAAATTGAAGTTGGGTCTTCTTAAACCCTTTTTCTACTTAAGACATGCGATCATATTTAAATTTCCCCCAAAAAACCACTTTTCTAACATGGAAGAGCCCAAGATGTTCAGTTTTCCCCATAAGTCTAGCCTTAACTGGCAAATGCAACTTGCGTATACAATGGTAGCCCAGCCTTTACAAACATTAATATCAAAGAAGAAGTACAAAAATTGAGGATCATCAATGATAATGTTGATGGTTAATTACTTCCGAGTGAATAACCAAATCTTGTTAGTATTTTTGGAAGCAAAATTGTATCTGCTAAATCTCTGAGTAATTATTTGTTTGTTAATGCTCACCAAAGATTCTAATATGGTAAAAATTCAAATTTTATGAGTTCTGACCCAATGTTTTAGTCTATCAAGGGAGTTGAGGTCAGCCACCCCCCTTAGTCCATATGAGCATATTAATCATAATGAGAATGGAGACTCTTTCTAGTCATCCTAGCAAGAGTGTCATTTTGTTTCCCATCAGAGTAAGATGAAACACTAGGCAGTATATTACTTTGCTCCAGATTCTTGATTTTCAATCCACCTTTCCTCTTTCTTCTATATTTCTGAATTGTCCATTCCTCTAATAAATTTCTTGCAACTTCTAAATTCTCCTCAGTGGGAGAATGTATATCCTCAACTTCTAAACCTGCCACATTAACCTCAGCTCCTCTGGTTTCTAAGTCTGCCACTTTAGATGTAAAGTGATTAGCCTGCTCTATTGCCTTATCCCGCATAGCCATGTTTGTAAATTGATTCCAAAATTGTCCAATACTATTATAAAAACCGTATTGTTAACCTTATCATTCTGATCTATATGAGTCTCCACACCCAAATCTTCTCCACTAGTGATTCTCCCCAAAACAAGATGTTATTCAATCTCCACCAGAGATCCCTCCAAAAGCTCCACCTCGAGAACCCCCAAACAAGCTGCACCACTCCCAAATTCTCTACCTCACTAACTAAATTGTCATTTTCAACAGTTTTAGCCAGTGCAACATCCTCCTTCAAACTTCATTCCTCAGCATTCCTTAACCACAACATTTCCACAATATATATATATATATATATATATATAATCATAAGATGGGTTTTGCTCTGCTAGGGTTTACTCGGGTCGCGACTCCATGGCGACTCGAGTAGCCCTCGATACCTTTACGTCGGAACGAGAATTCGTGGCTTCGTCGTGCTCGAAGAATAAGAGAAGGGGATTATGTCGTTGGAGGTTTGTCCTCAGAAGATGTCGACTCTCTTGACAATGCCTCCCCTCGCGGCAAAGTCCTACAGCTTCAATTTCTTCGCCTCGTCGTGTTCGAAGAAGGGAAGAGGATTGTATCGTAGCAGGTTCGTCCTCGTCGTGATCTACACGAAGACGTTGACTTTGCTTGGCAACCCCTCCCCCCGCGGCAAAGTCCTACAGTTTCTTTCTCTGTTTTTTTACTTCTTTGATGGCTATTGTTCCTCCCTTGAATCAGTACCTAGGCAAAGAATCTTTTGTTGCGGCGCTTGGTAAAGGTCTAGACTCTAAGAAGGCGGTCGAGCTTTTTGTGTTTCCTCAGATCTATCATAATTCTCTTGAAGGGAAAGTCATTGTCAGTTTGTTAAGAGGGCTTGCAGGAAGGGTGGTAAGGCCGCTATTATTTTTTCAGACCTCGAAGTCTCTACTCTGGTTGAAAAATACAAATTCACACTCATTGGGAAGTTCAAGTTGGGGCTTGCTAAAATGGAGGCTATTCGCAAAACTTTTGAGAACCTCAAACTTATAGGACAATGGAAGTTGGGTCTCTTTGATGGGAGACATGTGATGATACATTTGACTACGAACGAAAACCATGCTAGGATTTTCTTCAAGAGATACCTCAACATTGAAGAAAAAACTATGAAGTTGCTCAAGTGGTCTCCTGAATTTGGTCCAAACCAGGAACCACCTACAGTACCAATATGGTTTACGTTACCAAGGCTTAAGTTGCATTTTTCAACCATTAGGTCATTTATTCCATAGGGGCCATACTTGGGAGACCAATGAAATTAGACATACCCATGTTTAATCTCACTAGGCCTTCTTCGCCAGGATCCTTGTGGAGAGAGATATCACTTTAGCTGACATTGAAGAAATTTGGTTTGACACTGCACATAATGGCTACTGGCAACAGATTGTCATGGAACATTGACCATACTAATGCACCCATTTTAAGATGTTTTGACATACACTTGAAAAATGTTTCAGGCTCCATCCTAATTTGAGACCCCAACTTCAAGTGTTTCACCTAACTACTCAAGAAGCACCTATTCCACCTGCTGATATGGTGGAAATTGCCACTAGAGGGAATATTGCCACTGATTTTGACCCAGAGGAGCACCCCTCACTATCTCAGCCCCCAGGTTGTTGAAAATGAGGATACTCTCATTTTGGTGCCAGAAGATGCTCCATATGCTATGGAAATAATTATTGATGATGTTGAGGGCCCTGTAACTTTGGCGGAGTGCCAAGTTCAAGGTGTGCAATAGGTAGAAATTATTCCCATTGATGATCAACTCAGTGATAAGTTGGGACAACCTTTGGAAGAAAATTGACAAGTTTACAAAATCAGGAAGAAGAATAAAGGACTAAAGGAACTCAGGAATCTATAGTAGGATGTTTTTGCTCGTTTCGGGTGGAAGCCCTCGTCACAGTTTTGTGCTCGACTCCCTTTCTAGAACCAGGGAGAGAGGAAAACTCACTCATCATGATTAAGCTTCCGAGTTGCCTACAACCCATTTTTATCTTTTTGGGGAAATTGTCTTTCTTTTTTTTTATGGATATACTTATACATTTTTATTACCTTTGAGTCTTGTATGCCTTGTAAGTGGGTTCGAGGACCCGCTCACTAAAACATTTGTATCTTTTTCCCATCAATAAAATTTTTATATTGGCGATATATATATAAAAATTTCATTGATAGGAAAAAGATACAAAGGTTTTAGTGAGCGGGTGTTGGAACCCACTCGTATATATATATATATAATAACATATTGTGTGCTGTAATTAGTAAATGCACTGCTTCATTATGCACATTAAAGCAAAAAGGAACACTTACGTATTAAATTATGCTTTACAGTTCGAAAATACTGGTTGGAGGTATTGTATTAAATGGTGAAGTGCATGGTTTGGGCCATTTTCTAATCTCGTCATCTACAACTTGTTTTGTTGCTTAGCAAAGGACAAGAGAAAAAGAGAGAAGCAAATAGCAAATAATGCATAGATATTAAATTTATGTGAATGGGCCAGAATGCAAATTGCTTGATGAAAACTGACATTGTTTGAAGTCTTTTAAGCTATTTTACCAAATACAATTTTACATTGTCTTTTAGTGGCATTAAATAAAATGAAGATTATTGAAAAAACTGTTAGATCCAGTGCCTACCTTTTGCAATCACGGCCAACTGTGTAGAACTGGTGGTTTTAGTATGATTATGATGATAGCCTTGGATTTAAAGTCTTTTATGACACTCCTTGAAATGTTCTCTGCTTGGTGATATGACCAGTGTTGTTTTGATATCGCTTTGAGATTTTGAGGGCTCAAAATATTCAAATATAATGCATCGGACTGATTTTAATTGCTTATCAGGTTGATATTTTTATACGAAAGATGAACTCAATTCCTGCCTTCACAGCAAACTTAACAATGGAATCATTCAATAAGCGTACCTTAAGTTGAAGCCCAAACACGACTTGATCTTCTACCACCAACTGTTTAAAGTTTTTGGTCAGCCAGTAGATGATCAATGGGTAATGTATCGTCAATTAATCAATTATCCTTTTCTTTGATTGGTGTGTTGCTCTGTCATCAAATGCCATTCCATTTTGTATTGTTGTTGAGGAAGAATGAAGAAAATCTCTCTATTTTTTTTTTAATATAAAGATTTCTTTTCCAACCCAATTATTTTTACGACTTTGGAGCCATAAACTCTGAATGCTTGTTTTACATTTATGTCACACCTCTAAAATCAGTTCTCATTTTTAATCAGAAGACAGGGTGAAAGAGAATATCATATCAGGACTCTTAACGTAATTTGTATTCGAAGTTTAATGGTGGGGCGTCACGTGTCAAGTGGGCCCCACCACAATACACTGGCATTGACACGTGGCGCCCCACCATTCGGCTCCGAATGTATTAGGAGTCATGATGTAATATTTTTTCATAAAAGTGAGGGAAAAGAGTGACCTCTCACATTTCAGTTTTGCGCAACTGTCCCATATAATTCCTGCATTTCTGCATAACATCATTGGTTTTTTCTTATGCTTCATTTACACTTGAAGAGCCTCAGTAAAAAATGCTGAGGATCAAGAATTTGTTGGTTGCTAATCGTGTAAAATGGCAGTTATGCTGATTATACTGGATGTATCTGATTTTTAGCCAATATAGATGGCTGGATAACAAAAAAAATAAAGTACTGATGAATTGCCTATGATGAGAAGTTCTGAGTAGTGTAAAGTTCAAATTTGGTAACAAGATGTAATTAGGAAGTAGCATGGCTGTTCAAAATGTGGAGATGAAGAACCAACAATAATGTTAGGATTGTAGCATGGTTGTGAGTGAAGATGGATGGAGTCTTGATCTCCATGTTTGTTATACATTGTGGCATGATTGAATGCAGCAACAATGCTAGATAACGACAAACAGATCGCTATATTTTATAAATTGGGATGGAGATGCATCTAAAGTTAAAATATTTAAATATTGTTTTTTTTTTTTCTTACAAAATGGATTTTTACAATAAGGATGTACCTATTGTTTGGCATGTTGCATGAGTAAAAGAATAAGAAACCTAAAAAAAACTCAACGTTCATCAATCATTTCACATAACAAGTTATGTTGATGCATGCAAACCATCAAATCAGAAGTGAATAAAGTTGATGAACTACAAATGTAGTGTCACTTAGATCGAGCATGAAATATCTTGATTGCAATTGAAGTTTCCAAAATATCATCTTTTCATAAAGTTAAATACAACAAAATGTGTACAATATAAAAATATATATGGAGGATGCACATATTGCCCCATTTGTTGCAAAAACATGAAAATCAAAGTTTATTTAAGACGCCATGATAACGGGATGTTTAAGATGTATGAGAAAAATGAGAATACAACTCATCATAATTTTTTTCATTATATATATGCTTGCTCATGGTAGACGAGTAGATGAGATATTACAAATTTCAGTCATTTTATCATAAAAGTTGAAATATTTAAGTATTCTTTTTTTTGCAAAATGGATTTTTCCAACAAGGATTTTCACATTCTTTGGCATGTTTAATGAGAAAAAAAAAATACCCCCAAAAAAGTCGACTTTCATCAATGATTTCATAGAATATAATCTTATGTTGATGCATATGAGTCATCAAATCTATTTAAAAAGGATCACAACGATCAATTTGGCCAAACAAGATGAAAATGAACTACGGCTGTAGTGTCGTGTAAATCGAGCATGAAATGTCTTGATTGCAATTAAATTTTCCCAATATTATTTTTTCATAATATAGAATGCAAGCAAAAATACAAATGAAGGATGCACATATTGCTCTATTTGTTGCACAAAGATGAAAATCAAAATTTATCCAAGATGTGATGATAACATGATGCTTAGATGCATGAGAAAAATGAGAATAATAACACATCTTAATTTTTTTCCCCCAATCTTCCCAGAAAGAAAAATGGAAATGATTGAAATGACGGTCGGCGTTTTACAGAAGTTTCACGTCAAATTTCAAAGGCAAATGAGTAGATGAGATGCTACTTAGAGATTTGAGTCATTTCATCATAAAAGTTGAAATATTTAAGTATTGTTTTTTTTTTTTACAAAATGGATTTTTCCAATAAGGATGTTCACATTCTTTGGCATGATGCATGAGAAAAAGAGACCCAAAAAAGTCAACGTTCATCAATGATTTGACATAATAGGTTATGTTGATCCATACGAATCATCAAGTCTATCTAAAAAGGATCCCATGATCAATTTTGGCCAAACAAGATGAAGATGAAATATAGATGAGCATTGCGTAAATTGAGCATGAAATGCCTTGATTGCAGTTGATGTTGCCTAGTATCATCTTTTCATGATATAGAAATGCACCAAAGCATGTAGAATATAAAAATAAAAATGATGGATGCACATATTGCCCTATTTGCAAAAAATATGAAAATCAAAATTTATCCAAGATGTCGCGATAACATGATGTTCAAGATGCATTAGAAAATTGAGAATAACAAAACATCTTAAATTTTTTCACAATCACCCTTTTAAGAAAAATGAAAATAATTGAAATGAGAGAGTCAGTGCTTTCTAGAAGCTTTAGGTAAAATTTTCAAGGCAGATGAGTAGATGAGATACTGTCTAGCGATTTAAAAGTTAAAATATATAAGTTTTGCATTTTTTGCAAAACGAGTTTTTCTAATTAGGACGATCACATCATTTGGTATGTTTTATGAGAAAAGAAAAGAAAACCCAAAAAAGTTAATGTTCATGAATGATTTCACATAACAGGTTTTGTTGATGCATATGAAGTATCAAATCTATCTAAAAATAATCTCAACGATCAATTTAGCCAAAAAAAATGAAGATGAACTACAGATGCAGCGTTGTGTAAATCGAGCATGAAATGCCTTAATTGCAATTGAAGTTTTCCAATATCATCTTTTCATAATATAGAATACACCAAAGTATGTAGAATTTAAAAAAACAAATCAAGGATGCACATATTGTCCTATTTTTTTGCAAAAAGATGAAAAATAAAATTTATCCAAGATGTTGTGAAAACATGATGTACAAGAAGCATGAGAAAAATGAGAATAAAAACACATCTTAATTTTTTTTTTTCCCCAATCATCCTCGAAAGAAAATTGAAAATGATTGAAAGGAGAGAGTCAGAGTTTTATACAAGTTTCAAGTCAAATTTTCTAAGCATATGAGTGGATAAGATGCTACCTAGATGAACTATTAAGTCATTTCATCATAAAAGTTGAAATATTTTATATTGCCTTTTTTGCAAAATGGATTTTTTTTAACAAGTATGTTCACATTCTTTGGCATGTTGCATCAGAAAAAGATAAATAACCCAAAAAAAAGTCAACATTCATCAACGATTTGACATAACAGGTTATGTTGATGCATGTGAATTATCAAATCTCTCTAAAAAGGATACTAATGATCAACTTGGTCAAACAAAATTAAGATGAACTATAGATCAGTGTCATGTAAATCGAGCATGAAATGTCTTGATTGCAATTGATGTTTCCCACTACCGTCCAAAGTATGTAGAATACAAAAATACAAACGAAGGATGCACATATTGCCCTATTTGTTGCAAAAAAAATGAAAATAAAAATTTATTCAAGATGTGGTGATAACATGATGTTCAAGATTCATGAAAAAAATGAGAATAATAATACGTCTTAAATTTTTCCTCAGTCACCCTCGAAAGAAAAATTAAAATGATTGAAATGAGAGAAAGTTTTATAAAAAATTTGGGTCAAATTGTCAAAATAGATTAGTAGATAAGATGCTACCTAAAGATTTCAATTATTTTACGAGGATGCAAGCCCTATTGCTATTCAATTATATCTTCAATTTAAGTCATCTTTATTTCCTTTAAAAGAAATGCAAAGGGCTTAACACAAGAGCGAACAAGTAAAAGACCTAAGCCCCAAGGGTCGAAGGGTAGCTTAAGGAAAGTAAAAGACCTAAGTTCCTGGTATATAGGAACTCAACTTAAGTATCAACAACTTAACTTTGACCAACTCATCAAAAAGTTAAGGGTTTGAAGGCAAGTGTATGAAACTATAAAAAGTGAAGATTTGGTTTGAAATTCTTAGCTCAATATTTGTTCCTCCATTGGTTTTCTAGGAGAGCCACTAAGAAAATCCTAAAGCTAGATCCTATAATCTAAAGAAAGAGAAGAAAATAGGCCTCATTTAAAATGAGGCCAACAAAGTACAAAATAATTCAATATATTCCTTCATAAAGCTGGCTACATCCTCTTCAAATTTGAAATTTAAATTACATCAAATAAAGCATCATTCATATAACTCCTCATTAGTTTAAGCTCTGACATAGAGAAAATTGTATTTTAATTTAAAATTCAAAAATTTTGCTAATAATTACCTTAACTAACTTTTAATTTAATCCTTTCTCCAAAGGGAAGAATTGTGTCTAACACGTTGCATGCATAGAAGTTTTTCACTTGAATTTAAATTTGAAGGAGTCACCATCAAATACAGAGGAGAAAAAGAAGGTAGAAATTCTCTTGAGGTCATTTTGTAGGGGTCGACTATGTATGTATGCATGTATGTTGTGTGTGTGTGTGTGTGTGTGTGTGTGTGTGTGTGTGTGTGTGTGTGTGTGTGTGTGTGTGTGTGTGTGTTTTTCTATATATTCTATATATATAAACACACACACACACACACACATACAACACGTACATATATACATATATACATACATACAAAGGTGTCAAATAGAGCAATGATTCTAATAAGGGTAAATCTAAGCTAACCCCATGTACCCAAATTTTGTTGTTCCTCAGATAATGAATCAACCACTGAAAATGAGGGTAAAGAAGCACTACTCTTAACTAAAAAATTATTTGGACGATTAGCCTCTCTATATATGTGTGACCATCTCAAGTTAAGGAGAAGAAGTAGTCTTGAAATCCTCTTCTAAATGATTGAAAATTCTCAAGACCAAGCTTGTCTCCCTGAGAAAATTTGAAAAATAGTTAAAGAATCCATCTCAGCCACAAGATTGAGCATCTTTAATCTCTTTGCCACTATCAAACAATAAATTATAGCCAGAAATTCAACAAACTAGGGTGTAAAACTATAGAAGAACTTCAAAAATATTTGTG